TTAATGTTGCTTTTGTAAAGGGAAACTCTGTTGTTTGGTGCTTGGGTGATACCTGTATAGTACTTGTTGCATTTTGTACACTTGAGTGCATAAATCACATTTTTAGAGTTGCAGTTTAAGTTTTTCTTTATTGTAAATGTTGTGGGCTTTTCAAAAGTGTAGGAGTTTCCTTCTATAATGGTATCACAAACTCGACATCTTTTCTTGTTGCATTTTGTGACCCCCTCTATTTTTTGTTGGCTAAATTTGTATGTGTTTAATATGTTTTAGATTTTCTGATTGGCGTTTGCTTTTAATCATTTTGCTTGATTTTAGTATATCTTTCATTTTATCATTCTCGTTAAGTAGGTCTAGATTTCTTGTAATTTCTGTAAATAGTCCTGAATTGTTCTTGTATTCTGAGGCATATGCTAGAGTTTGTTCGACGTTGTAATATATATATATATATATATATATATATATATATATATATATATATATATTATTATTATTATTATTATTATTATTATTATTATTATATCGTAGCTATGGCTTAAATAGTAGTTTAGACTGAGCTCTCTAACCATGTTTGCAACCATTGATATGTAAAAAGGTATGCAGGAGAGAGGCTGGTTTGTAAAATAATCTGTCTTCTACTGAAAAGAAGTGGCAGTTATCATATATGACGGGACTGTCACCTCATCTTCGACGGTAGCTCCGAGAACAGCTGCATATGTGAATTTGATTCTAGTGGTGAAGGCCTGTGCAGAATCATCGACACTTTTCGGAAAAAATGAATACTGTGTGTGACGAGATCCCCAAACAGCTCTGTTCAGGTTTTGAATTCAAAGTTATCCTTCTCCTAGATTGGTTCCCAACGAAGGCTAATGAACAAATAGTGTCCTATTAGTTAACCCATAACTGGAGGAACAAATTGGATCCCGTGGGCATTTGCGCGTCAGTGAATGTAACGAATTCGACTGGAATTCGAACTCAGCTCTCTAGTGAAAAAGGTTGAATTATATATCAACCGAAAACGCCAAAAGTAACAACGATCAAAGCAATAGTTCAAATTTTATTGGCAATAATTGTTTTATTGATGATCGGCGACATAATACTAAACGGGAGCGTGTTTAAATATATACTCTGTGCATAAATATTTTAAATTGAAAATATTAAAAAGTAATCAATTAAAATAAATAAATACTTATATTTGCCCAATAATTTAATCAGGAATTTTGAATATTACTTTACCAAAAATATATCTCGAATTCAATAAACTATAAATGATTAGAAACATTTATTATATTTGTCTACTTAAGTACAAATTCCTTTCTGTATCGGAAAAATGAACTAATACACAATAACCGAACAATTTTAGATTAGATTATGTTAAGTAATAACTTCCTTAAGAACACATTTAGAATTTATTATCATCAGAGATTTTCGACTTGAAGGCACAATACAAATCAGTGTGATTTCTCATCTTCAACAACTTTGTAAATCTTATCAGTCCTTTCCAATCATCCCTGTCTTATGCTAACTCACGAAAGTGTTGCAGGTCTTATAAGACCGTCAAAGTTTGTTTTTTTTTACGGAGAATGATGGAATTTTATTGATAGTTCTTTTAATGTCATTGTTTAATATTGTTATATACCGTAACTATGAAAATTAATGTGTATGTCCCAATCCTCATAAATACGTTGGTCACTATTTTAAGTGGGTTATATGCTGTTTAACTAGTCTAACAAAAACAGTGGTTTACCTACTTCACGTCGCTGGCGAGTATTGTATTTTGTTAATGTTATAAAGATTACTATTTCATTTCGTTTTGGTTATTCTTCATTCAGAAACCTTTTCTAGGTTACGACACACTACTACTACTCTATTTCACACACTATCTATCTATCTATCTACCTATCTATCTATCTATCTATCTATTATATATCGTACCTATGATCACTAATCGATATGTCCCAATCCTCATAAATACTTTAAACACTATTGTATGTGGGGGTAATATGCTGTTTATATAGTCCATGACTAGCAGTGGCTTACCTACTTCACGTCGCTGGCGAGTATTGTATTTTGTTGACGTTATAATGATTGCCATTTCATTCCCAACCTCCGTTTCATTCAGTAACCTTTCCTAGGTTACAAAAAATATGTATACTATGGCTGTTCGTCCAATATCTGACAAAACCATTCCCATAAACATTTAGACTTTCGCTAATTCCGACCTTAATATAAAGTCCTTTGATTTTAGTTTCTTGGAGACAAAATACTATTAACGCCCCGAATGAATAATTACTGCTTTTCTTGTTTTACAATCATCTAACATTAAATGCCTTTATATGTCACTGGAGGCATTTACAAACTTTTAAATCAGAGGTTACTAGCTTTTAACAGTTGACAACCGGAGAGGTCATTAACTTCTCTGCCAAAATTTGGATAAAATAGAATTTATTGATGTAAACAATTACCGTTTTTCGAAGCCTGTTGAAAAGCTTTAACCAGAAGCAGAAGGGGAACACAAGGAAATGCAGGTGGATCGGCCTGGACCGCACTATGCCACCGATGATAATGCACACAAGGTTCACTTCATCTGTGATGGTCCTGCACACCACTTCTCGCAGGGCCCTAGGATCAATGCTATCGCGAAACTCGAGGTCATTGAAACGAGAGAATAAGCACGGGAAGTGTGTATGTCTTTCAGATGGGGTCGCTCCGTTAAGATTTTTCACGATAATGCACAATATGTAGCCTTCTATATCTCCTAATTTGAATCGCATCCCGGAATATTAAGCCTGGACTAGAAGGCTAACCAGTTTACCTACAATATCAAAGACTTGTTTAACGTTTTATCAAATAAAATTTTCCAGTTTTCATAAAAAGAACGTTAGTACAATTTCTTTTAAAAAACATAGATTTTTACCTATCTTTCATCACTTTTTTATCTTTACTTTTAAAATATCCCACATTGTATATTTTCATATTATTTCTCCTAATCACGTAAATACTTAGGGTTACATAAATTCTGAGTGATCTTAAATAGAATCCAATAATTACTTACATATTATTTGTTGTTATGGTGAGAATAGGAATTTACGAGATCATTTTATTAGTTGATTTCTGATGGACTAATATTTGGATTAACGATGGATTCAAATCTTATCTCATCATAACGTTTCTTGAATCTGCTGTTTTCTAAGATGTTTTACCTAAAGAATAAACAAGAATTCCGATATATTAATGACGCTCTATTAATATATTCCTACAAAACAATATTACCTGATCTTATACATCTCTCCTCCTACACACACACACACACACACACATATATATATATATATATATATAACTCCATCTACAAAAAAAATTAGCTTAGTCCGATAAAGGACGAAACGAAACGCATAACACCAACTTTTTCCAGTTTTTTTCATTTGCCTAAAATATGTCTGATATATAAACATATATCATCCTTCCCCATATATATATATATATATATATATATATATATATATATATACATGGATGAATATTAAGTTTTTGAATATAGTGTACGGTTTTCTTGTGAAAATCGTTTTCTCTCTCTCTCTCTCTCTCTCTCTATATATATATATATATATATATATATATATATATATATATATATATATATGCTTGTGTGTGCGTGTGTTTGTGCGTGTGTTTCGTTCCGGTTGATCCAAATTCATTGGATCCTTCATTATATCCTATAGAAAACATTTATTGATTTACCATCATTTCACAAAAAACAACCAACTATTTTTTTAATTTGAAAGCAATGATTGGTAGTTGATCTGTTTTATATATTGCAATCAGTTAGAGACCCACATTTCTTTGTACGCCCTGTAAGGACATAATTTACTGTGCATGCTTTGTGAGTTTAGTTTTTTTTTGTGTGCTGAAACAGAAAATTTAAAAAAAACAAACGTGAGTAGTGATCTTACGAATGGAAGCCTAACTTCTATGCTTAGGATTCCTGATATAAAACACTTCAGGCCTACTTATTATACACCTACCATAATGTTGAAGTACTAAGAATTGAATGAAATACTAGATTTTGGTTGGTTGTTTATGTTTAGTGACAAATCATTCTCTATGGGTTATTGAACGCCTTCAACCACAGATAAAATGTATTGTCGGTTATTTTACCATTAAATGTATTGTTGGTAATTTTCTACAAATAGGTATTTGTGGTAATATATATATATATATATATATATATATATATATATATATATATATATATATAATGTATTATTGTATTTTTACTATAACAATGCATTTTTGTACTTTCATAGTCTTTTGATTTTGTTTAGCTTCTCACCATTTCCCCATAACTGGGTCCCTAATAGTTGAATAAAGGATTCAGTTTAAGATTTCGAAAGATTTGCGGAAAGAACAGAAGCCAGAAGAAGGCCGTAGGATACAAAGGCCAAAGAGATGTAATTATATGAGGAAAAGGATAGAACCGCAGATGAAATAAATCAGTGAATAATAATAATAATAATAATAATAATAATAATGTAGTGGTATGTGCACTCAGTCGGGTCATGAAAAACATGGAAAAATACACCACCAACAAAATCCCCGATAATATCATGATAGAAGAGGTCATTTTCTTCAACAGTGCTATAACTACAAATAATGATTTCCCCAATAAGAAGGAATAGATTTCCATATATATTAAAGAAATATATTTCATGTCTTTTCCTCATCAAATTCGTAGTTTTTTTTAGCGCTCTATTCTTTTATTGTTTTTTTTTGCGGGGGGCATTTTGGGTTATATAACTTTTTGATCACCTCACCTTTTGGCCAGCTCCCTTTTCGGTCGTCTCGCTTTTCGGTCATGTCACATTTTGGTCCTGTCATTTTTCAGTCACCTCACTTTTTGGTCATCTTACTTTTTAATCATCTCACTTTTTGAATGAAGAAAGGCCGAGATCAATAATGAATAACTAAAAATTGCAATCAAAATTAATGAAGAACGGATGAGATCATGACAGAAAGAGAGAAATAATGAGAGGGAAGAATGAATGAAGGAGAATACGGTTAAGAAGGAATGTAGAATGAATAAGATCATGAACCAACGAAGAAAGAGTGATATCTAGAAGGAATGAAAACAAATCGAATGAAGAAAAAATAAGATCAGAAATTAATATCGAAAGAATAAGATCATGACCGAAAGATAAAGAATGAATGAAGAAAGAATGATTTCAAGAATGAATGAAGAAAGAATTATATCCCGAATGAACGAAGAGAGAATGATATCAAGAATTTATAAAGAAAGAATGATATCACGAATGAATGAAGAGAATGATATCAAGAACATACGAAGAAAGAATGATATTAAGAATAAATGAAAAGTGAATGATATCAAGAATGAGTGAAGACAGAATGATATCAAGAATAAATAATGAGAGAATGCTATCAAGAATGGAAGAAGAAAGAATGATTTGAAGATAGAATAAGATAAGAAATAGTATATAAGATCAAGAATGAAAACTTCGTTGTCAACAGAATATATAAAAAAAATTCAGGAATTTACACATTATTTCAAGATGTAGCCAGGAATTAAAGTCAGAAGAGAACGAAGAAGAATGTTATCTTGCTGGGTGAAAAAAGTAAACGATTATTTTTAATTTTCAATCCTCGAAGAATTTGAGTTTAGTATAAATTCAGGTATGTGAGCATATGTTGAGTTTTGAAGCAAGTGTTATATTTCTTTGGGGTATATTCACAATTATATACATTGGATTTAAAAAAAAATGTACATAGCCTGTTGTTTCATCAAGCGATTTAACATCGACATAAATATTACCTTTTGGGTAATTTCGTTAATTAAATCATACGACTGACATATTTGCTTGTTTTTTCTTTTCTTTTTTTTTTGAGACCTTAAAACACACCACTATTTTCAGGTTTGCGTCTATGACATCATTTCGATTTGTGTATGAACGTATGCATACATACATACATATATATATATATATATATATATATATATATATATATATATATATATATATATATATATATATATATATATAGATAGATAGATAGATAGATAGATAGATATAGTAGTTTGATGAAATAAATTCGAGAGATAAAAAATCAACAACCATAATAATAATAATGATAATAAACATAATAATTATTCTATATTATTATGAATTTAGACCAAATAGATGTGTGATTTAGCACATTTTGCATCATGCTTCTATTTGATCTAAAAGCATAATAATATAAAATATATATTATGTTTATTATCATTATTATTATTTTATATCTCGAATTTATTTCATCGAACTACTGTATCTCTATCTATAAAAGGCAGGATGTGTGTGTAACGAATGCACGGTCGCAATTTTCCCAACTCCCATTGATAGTGGAAATAATCGATTTTTTCATGCTTCTATGGCAGTTTTCATGTAGTTTGCGGCCATTTTCTATTGGCCAGAGTGAGAGCCAATAGCTGGCTGCCACGAATAGGCAGGGAAATTCTATTGGCCAGGGTGAGAGCCAAAAGCTGACAGACACGAATGTTAACTAGCATGCTAGCATGCAAAAAAATCGATAGCTGCATTCGTCAATTGGGAAAAATTTAAATCTGCATGGCACTTTACTCCAATTGGCTCATTCGCTTGCTTAAACTCAACCTTGATTCTGATTCCGCAGAACTGGGTTGGGTGTGAAAACGTATTTGTTGTTAACATTCTTTTTTTATTCGGTTTTTCCAGTTACGAGTCCTTTTTTAAAGCTGATAGTTTTGTGTTTATTTTGTTTAGTTCTTTTTTCGTAACAGATATAATGTTTAGTATAGAGCTTAGAAAAAATTCGCAGTGAGATACGCAAGAAGTAAGGCATGTAGCAACATCAGCATGGCAAAGTGCACTCCTTTAAAGGCAAGGAAGGGCAAAAATATTTTAAGTCAAGTGACAGTGATTACTGTATGAGTCGTACGATTTTTGAATCAAGCACGGGCAACATATAAGAAGCATACATAAACAATTTTCCTTTACTATAATATATATATATATATATATATATATATATATATATATATATGCTGTATGTATTTCTAATCTGTGTAATATGTGTAGTGATATACGAACATGAATAATACTAGCATATATTTTGTGCATGCTTAAATGTATACATGACTATCTACTCAAACTCTTATACGTATACAATCAGAGTAACACACGCACGAATACACTCACGCACACATTATTATTCTTAGTAGCAGTAGTAGTAGTAGTAGTAGTAGTAGTAGTATTACCTTTGATTTCTGTTCTATACACATTTCCTTCCGGTTACCAACCAGAGACCTAAGGTCATAAATGACTTCGTGACATTTTCCACTGATCATTTTTGGAAAAATAAACAAAAAATATCAATATCACACACATTTTACATAGATAAAGTACTTCGTAAAGTGTGAGTTGTACTATTGAATCCAATTCTTTGTGTTTCTTTAAGTGCTCGGGCTACCAGCAATCACTTCAATGAGTCTATCAGAACATTTTTCAATCAATCGGAGGGCTCCAACTACAACTAGAATTCTTGATGTCCTCTTGTGCCACATTTTTTAGATTTCCACTTCATGATCCTTTTATTTTGGTAGTTTTTTGAATATCTTCACAGTCACATTACAATCTGCAGGGACTGCTATGTCAATAAGAAATCACGTAGGAGTCCCTGCAAATTATTATTATTATTATTGTTGTTTCTACTACTACCGGAAAAGTTTAATGGATGCAACTTGTTTGAGTCAGACGCTTAGTTTTTTGTTTTTGTTTATGTCTTTTAACGGTGGGAATTGCGTCTACCGGCCTGCTCATTCGAGAGGCTTAATAAAGGAAATATAATCGAACACACGTCTTCCTTTGTCAGAGAAACAATCGTCTGATCCGGTCTGCTTTACACTGATCTGGCACCGGGTTGTGGTGCTTTCTGTGACTGAACGGCGTAAAGTAAGCCAGATGAGACGGTGGTTTTTCCTACAAAGGAGGACGAAGGTTTGAATTCTGCCAAAGAGAAAAGTTTGAAAATAACATTTTGAATGCTAGAATATTTCTGGTGGGCTTTTTTCTTATTAATCTTGGCGAGATGATTTCTCCTCACCCCTGGTAAGATTGGTTGACCTTTGCATAATATGCACGCCCCGGTTATATTTTTACCATCAAAGACTTGGGAGTATAAGGATTCTCATTTTCACTCATTACAGTTACCAAGCACCTGATGAGTGCGTGAAAACATATGAAATTGGTCGTCGTGGTCGGTCACAGACCACTTGAAATTTGATTTCAGATATAATAAAGCTCTGTAATTTAACATGGCATAAAACACTCTTTTTTGTCTGTGCAAACATATATTTACATATATATATATATATATATATATATATATATATATATATATATATATATTTACACACACAGTGTTTACTCATTTCCCCACGAGAATGAGATGTGACACAAGGTCAGATTAATGTGGGGTCCCGAGCGCGTACACTCAGGCAGGGACAAAAATTCCCCTCAGCCCCCGCAACCATCGGTTGCGCTTGCCTTGGTGCGAGCACCGATCTCTCCCTTTTGTGCAATGGAAGGGCGCGGCCCCGGGCAGTTGTTCCCCAGGGCTGGGCACCACTTCAGTATAATTTTCCTCAGTTGCCCCTCTGTCCTTTGACAGAGAAGCCCCTGAGTGCACTCTGTCCACAGACAGAGACGCAACAGAGAGATGATAAGAAAATGTGAAATTACCCCAAAAGAGGAATTTAGACGTTTACACACACACACACACACACACACATATATATATATATATATATATATATATATATATATATATATATATATATATATATATATATTACGCTCTCGTTATTCGATCGAGCAAAAAGGGTAATTTCAAAACAGTAGAATCCGCTGCTATTAACGCATCGCTCTTCAGTAATGAACTGAGCTATCTGGCTGCTGGCGTTTTTATACATCCGTATATAATACGTTAAAATTTGCCTTTCTCTGCCGTGCGTCGATAGCTTAGGGGTAGGATCTCTGCCAAATCTTCCGGATTCCGATCCCAGCTTGAAGTAATCGGATGTTTAGTAACATTGTGATACCGCGAAACAAACTTGTATGTGGATGACTATATATATATATATATATATATATATATATATATATATATATTAATCAATTCACCCTAACCAAGACGGTAATGCCACAAATACGCAGGGGGTTAGAGAGAGTAAAGAGAGAAAAAAAAAAAATCGGCATAGGGGAGGACTGAGTCAAGGATAAAAGCTGAACGTTCATACTCTGGCTTCCATCTTCAAAGTCCGTTCAAGAACCATCAAGAGAATGGTAAAAAAGAGGAAACAGTAGAGAGGAAAACTGGATCACACCAGGAAGAGGGATCATCAGAATTCCAGTAAGACATCTTTAATCATTTCTAAGATACAACGGTTCAAAGTTTAATCTAACAATTAGACAATTTTGCTGTTACACCCGGTACATATATATTTAGATAGATACTTGTGTGTGTACGTGAGTGTGTGCGTGTGTCTGTGTGTTTTCTCTAATGTTAGTTTATTCTGGCATAAAGGTGTAACATATATCATCTTGTACGTTAAGGGCATGACTGATCATGACTCGCCTCAAATATGATTTTTTTATACTAATGATAACTCAGTACAAGGCTCGAGAGTCACTCGAATTAGAGGAATATTGTTAATATGTTATATGAGTAAAAAAAAGAGACAAAAAAAGAAAGTGAAGATTATGAGAATAGGGCGCATAGATAACGATTGACTTTTGACTAAGAGATTAAAATTGCAATGTTCCGTAAAGTATCTAAGCACGGGAGGGCGTCCCAAAAAGTAACAGTTCTTGAGAAGAAACTGAGTGGTAATTTATTCTTGTATTTGGAATATGGAGGAAATAAGAATGATTCGACTCTGTGGAAGTAGCAAGACGTGACCCAGGTGTAAAGGTCTAAACTAGTCAGAATGGATCTCGTTTGACTATTCGCCAGTGAAATAATCTATAGATTAGCGATAAACTGGCGACTTTGCGCCTGAGGGAAAGTCACCGCAGAGTAGAA